CTTAAATACTTTAGAGAAGTTACATTTACATTTCATAACACCGAAGTAGTAACTAGAGTCATATGACATATTCCAAAATCTGGCATGGAAATCACTAACTGAGGTGGAAAACCAAACCTCTTAATGTCTAATCTAGTTTGTCTTTACAGGATAATACTTTAAAGCCAACCTTTAAAAAATTACTTTAAATAAAGCTACTACTCTGTTAATAAATTACCGTTTTTGAGCACATGCTTTGTACCTGCTACTGTGCTAAGTAAGCATTTGATTTATAAATTACCTCATTTAATTCTTAAAACATCTCCACTAATATCTACTTTACAGATGAGAAAATTGATACTTAGCTTATCTAAGATCAAGAGGGTGGTAAATGACAAAGTCAGAGCTCAATCTTAACCTTAACCATTCTGCTACACTTCCTTCCCAGTCTTTCAAATATTCATAAGAATTTGTGGATAATAATTAAGCCTAAAAAGTAACTAACATATTGAAAGTAACTAACATATTAAGAGCATGTGCGACTTGTTTGTTGAGTGATTCAGAAAGAAGATCATATTTAGGTGATATGGTCTTAGTTTATTTTAACCACATTTTAATAGGAAGGCAGGAAGAAAAGCCATGTAAAACATCATTTAAGTACAGATGAAAATTTGATCCTTCCTCTTGTCATTAAATTGGTGGGTAAATGTTTCTCTGTAAGGAGTTACGCCAGCCGGATGCTCCCTTGCTCTATCATGTTGATCTTAATTACTTAATAGAGGCAGGAAGGATGGAGGGAGCACTTGTTGATTCTATTTCATTAGATAGACTACTGAGTAATGAGTTGGAAAACTCTATACATCTGATTTATTTTAGATTGTACATTTTAGTTTCTCTAAAAGATAGATTATATTTTTTTAAAAAGAAAGGCTTCGTAGTCTATATAGAGCTTCCATTTTATAGAGCTCATTGGAGAGGCAGGATAGCAGATGGCTCTTAGAATTCTAGTGTGAATTCTGGGTTTGCTTCTTGAGCTCAAGCAAGTTTCTTAGTTTCTCCAATCCTTGGCTTTCTCAATTGGAGCTGTGATAGATCATAATACCTGACTCACAAAGTACAAAGTAAATGGTAGCCTTCCTCTTTCCATCTCTTAACGCCTCTTCCCGTTCGACAGATAATTACTGAGAATCTCTTGTGTGTTAGGTCCTGTCCTGTACACTGAACTCTCCTGAGAGCTCAAAGTGAGAGTCAAGAAGGCATCTAACAAGCTACTCGTGATGCAGTTTAATGGAAGTATAATAGAACTATCAGCACTCCCTAAATGCTGAAGTAGCATGAGGTATGGATCAACTACGCGTTTTGAGGGTCAGTGGGCAGCAGTGTTCATTTAAAACATCTTTTGTGATTAGTGGTCATTTAATACTTGGTGAACATTAAAATTATGTATTTTATGGTCAGAAATTAATTCAAATTAGTCCAATCTAAATACTCGGCTGATTTGCAATGCATGGCGATTTGATTTTTGTCATTAGGTTAAGAATATGTCATACCAGATGTAACTAGCTTTCTTTACCATGATCACTATTTTATAAGACCGAAATCATCCAAGGACATTCAGTGTTGTCTGTTTGATCATAGGTCACAAGGTTTTAGAATTGCAGTATGTATGGAGCACCTACTATGTGGCAGGCCCTCAGTAGGCAAGAAATGCCATCCTAGAGCCTGTGATCTTGGGGGAAGATGGGCAGGGCATGATACATACCATCCTTGCTTAGATGATAACTTGATAATTCCACTGGTGACAGCATTATTCCTGGTGCATTATATTGTTAACATATAAAAGAATTTTGAAATCATAATTTGATAAGATATTAAAGTAATTTAGGAAAGCTGTGGCATTTATCCAGTGATCCATCACTGATTCAAAATGACTCACTGTCATTATAATCCTCCCAGTCATGCTGAATTTGACAGCAGTTCTACATTCAGATTTGTGAAATGTCATATTTGGTGGGGAAGTCAGCAGCTATGAATTTTTCTCCTTTCTTTCTGAAGGTTAAAGGCTTAGCCTCTTCTTCTGAATCTCTGTACCTGTCATAGGGTGACGGAAATACGTGAGGCTCTGCCCCCACCACTTGGCACTGCTACCCTTCCAGATCCATTATGGGAGTATACCAATTGTGTTTACAGATCTCTTAGAGAGCCAAGCCTCCTCCTCCATACCGTTGGTTCCTAACTGGGTGGTGAACCTGATCTGGCATTATTCATTCACTCAATAATTATTTACTAATTTTTTTTATGGTGGGGACAGGGATAGGACTGAGACATGAGAGTACTCTCGGTGGGCTAATAACTTGTCTCTGAACAGGCTAACAATCTGATGTCACTTTAGACTGTTATTCTTTAAATATTTGTTCATGACATTTTTACAAGGCAAAGCCAAGCGCTGTGAGAGGGGAGAGGAGCCAGAGAAACCTTCTAGCTCCCCCTCTGCCAGTTCCCAGGATCTAACCGACCAGAAGAGAAATAGCAGATTCCTTATCTTTCCTTCCAGCCACATTCTGTACAATCCCTGAGAAAAGTTCTGGTAGATACTAGTTAAGTTTTCAGAGATGTTTTCAACACCTCGTTGGTGAATCTGTATATGGAAGCTGCTGTAATATCCAGGCCCTTAATCTAGCCCTGGAAAGAGACACTGTGGTAGATCTCAGGGATATAGGTAAATAAGATACTGCCCTAGTCCTCAAGGAACTTGAGGCAGTAGATTATGATATACTGTAAAACAGCGTGAGAGAACTATTAGTAAAGTGGTCTAAGAACACAGATGGAAGAGCAGTGGATTCAGCCTGTGGAGGTCAGGGTGGCTCATGGAGGTAATCTCCGGGTGAGACAGATGGTGAAGTGAAATGTTCCTCACTTAAGCACATCTGGCATTCTTAGTATGAACCTTTCAAATTGATGAAGTAGAGTACTTTAATTTTACATAACCTAAAGCCTTAAACTTATGGAATTTGACAAAGAGCGATAAGTGTGGTATTGCAGTAATTCATGCCATATCTGACCTGCAAAATGAGATCAAGTGATTATGAGGAGATTCTCGACTTCTTGCTAAATCTAAGATTTTATGTAACTATCACTAAAAGACTCATCCATCCAAATGGAAAGCTATTCTTAGATTCCAGAATTTTACAATAGTTCTTTGCTTTTCTGCAAAGGAATTTTTGTTGTTGTTGTTGTTGTTGTTGTTGTTGTTGTCAGTCTCCACTATCTTCTCCACTGTCTCTACCCACCAGCAGAACATGAGAGCATCTAGACTTCTCAGTTTTCAAAGTAAAAGCCTTGTGGCCTTTAGTTTTTCTATCAGAAAGCCTATTGCCTCCTATTGTTTCTTAATCTACAGTCACTTGAGAGTATTCCCTTATAAATCTTTATTTGGTAACCTTCTGAAAGGAGCTGTTATTTGAGAAAGGAAATTCACAGTGTTTTGCTTGTCTTCCAGATTTGGAGATGATTTTTTTTTTTTTTTGAAATTGATTTTTTAAGTGAAAATATACCTGCGTCCTGCTGCTGGGGAGAGAGTGTTTTTAAAGGGGCAGGTAATGCCAGTTTTATAACACTCATTAGCCCAGCAAACCAAAGAATCCACAAGAATCCACTGATGCTGTCTCAGCAGCTGCGTCTGTCAGAATCACTATGACAGCCTCAGTCCTGTTTTTATCCTGCCTAATGTGGACTATTCTATTCTAAGAAGCTTTGCCATTTAGTATTTTCACATTTCATCCTTCTAACTTATACTTTTGTTTGCTGTTGGAGAATAAGAAAGGCAATTACTTTTGTTATGGTTTCTAAAATTAAGAGTATTTTGTATTAGCCTGGATGAAGAAATTAAACTGCATTTTGCTGTTTTTTTTTTTTTTTTTTTAACTTAATAACAATAACCACACTCTGAGATGACAAGTTGCCATTCATTATGAGAGAGATTTCATTAAGTTCTACATTTATTTCTTTTCAGCAAAATATTCCTCTGGTTTAGATAAATGATAAGTAGAAAAAAGGAGTGAAACTCATTAATAGAACCTATTGGAAAGCATTCAACCCAACTCAAAGAAATGCAGAATAAAGCAACAATAAGATCACTTTTCATATATGCAATTAGCAAAGTTTGTTTGTTTGTTTTTTAATAATTCCCCCATCTGGTGAGAGTGCTTACTCATATTGCTTAAGGTAAAGAAAATTAGTATGACCTTCCTGGGGAATAATTTGACCATACTCTCACTTTTGGAAGTTTATACAAAGGAAAGTAGAGATGTTTATAGCATTCTTCATAATAAAAAGGGGAAATCTAAAATTCATAGGAAAATGGTTTTGTGAACGTGACATAATGATATATAAACTATTATGCTTCTATCAAAAATGATCTTTAGAGAAACTATAACAACATCAAGAAAGCCTATGATAAATGAGACAAAGGAGATCTCAATATTGTGCCATTGAATTTTACAACGGCACAATTCTGTAAAACCAATTGTCCAGCAAAACAAAACAAAACAAAAAAACCTGGAAGGAGAAAACAATCTCAAATATTAAATCTTTTTCCCCTAATGTTTCCCTATTTTCTGTAATAAGCATAGATATTTTCAATGGGTTTTTCCATCTTTTATGTATAAAATGAGTGGTGCCTCAGATACAATACATACTTTTTTTTCATTAAAAATTTTTTTCATTAAAAATTTAATGTTCATATTTTATGCCTTTTAAGTTGCCATGGTGATGGGATTAAATGTGTAACTTGTGACAGTGATTTGTTTCTGTTCCTGGGTATTAGTTAAAACCTTTTGTGAGAGGTCAGAAGGTAATCCCTTTAACAATGGTCACTTTTTAAAAAATTTTTCTTTTATATATTTCATGTTTCGTAAAGTTATTATAGATGTTGAAAATTTTAGAACTACATAAGTGGATAAATTGTCTTGCAGTCCCTTTGATGCATAAAATATAACAATATGTTTATGATTTCTCTGTAGGAATTTTTCAAATAGAAACTAATTGCAGAGTTTCCGGTTGAGCAACATTCACAGGGTAAGATTAACATTCTGAATTATGAACACATGGTAAAGATAATTACTATTACATTGGTAGCTTGGGGCAAACAAATATTGAATGCTTAGTATGTAAAAAGAGGTTACTATTCCTACAGACGTTTTGAGTAAAATCTTTTTGATGTTTTAAAACCAGTTAAATAAAAACTAAATCTGTATACATTTTGGTAAAATGTCATCTTACTTACTTGTGCTTTGTTGTTTTCGTATGTGTGTGTTTGATATTTGTCATTTTCTAACATTAAAGGTCTAAAAATATATAGTAAATGTCTATGAGAGACTTAGACTACATGACTCCATGTCTATATTTTTCAGATTTTTGTTTAAGGTAGTATTTTTAATGTATAGAATTGGTTTGTCATATTTCCATAATAGGCATGCTTTCCTGGAGTAGGTAAGTCAGACATTAAAAAGCTCTATGCACTGTTGCTTCCTGCAAACATCACTTTTCTTTTATAGTTGTGGAAGATTAATCTTAAATTAGCTCTGTAGCAGAGCTTTTGACTTTGTCATAATGAATGATTAATTTATACACTGTACTAAATAGCATGACTCTCTAGTGTTGTGAATACAACATATGTCTTAAAAGTGTGTCACCCAGTTCTGAACATACAGTCCAGGTAAAGCAGTGGTGAGAACAGTGTGCCTGTCCCCTCCTATATTCTGAACACCCTTTTATAAATGAAGGCATAGATCCTTTGACTTCTTGACTATATCCACATTTCCCTGCTGATTAATTTTTAAAAGCTAATATCATCAGTTACTCCTCCACTTATGACTCTTCATTGGCTTTTCCTGGACTATTTATTATCCAAACTCTTTACTTTGGCTTCAAGCCCTCCATCACTCTTGTACTTTACAAAGGCTCCTGACATTCCAGCCAAGTGGCCTCTTTTCTGGTCCTCACACATCCTAAGCTTCTTGCTCCTTCTTCCTGGAATGATCTTCCCCAATATCATCACATGGCTAGCTCCATTTAGAGACTGGCAGTCTCTTTAATGAGGCCTTCCTTGATCACTCAAACTGAAGTAGTCTTTAAGGTGTTTCTGATTTTATTGTGTTTGTATATTTGATTTTTGTATCTCTTTCTGTACTTCTCAGTAAGGTCGCTGAGAGCAGGGGTCTTGTCGACCTTACATACCTATATTTCCCTAACACTTAGAACTCCCTCTGGCATTCTAAGTATTTGTTGCATAAACCAACTAAAGTTCTGAAGTCTCTTTGATGAGTGCTGTTTTGTTTAGTAATGTTTCACCCATTCTCTTTGATCATTTTGCTTGTATAACCAAATGAAGTAAATGCTTTTTAGGTTTAGCCATCATCTCACCCATTTTGTCACTGAAGTGACAGCATAAGATGGTGGTGCTCTCAACTATAAATGTTTTCTCCTACAATAGGAGTGTAAATCCTATGAGAGCAGAAACCCAGCCTCATATCTTCTTAGTATGCCTTTGTAGTTCTAGCCTCCATAATTGAGTGTATATAAACGTTAACTTTAGAGAAAGAGTTAAGACTAGTTGCTTAATCACATTTTTAAGTATTTCAAGAATACACTGGTTTGTCTGCTCCAAAGCTAAAAAAAAATCTCATTTTGCATTATAGTTTAAAAAAGTATAACATAGAAATATTCTGGACTGTATTTGCGACTTTGTGTTCCAAAACCCTGTTTTAATTTTATTAGGAAGGTCTATAACTAATTAGGCAGTGTGGCCAGAATTAGTGCAACCAACTTTCCAGTTCTTTTCAAAATGGGAAACTTGGCTTAAGCCCATGTTCTACTACTACCCTTGAACACTTTTGAACTTCAGCTTCTTTATTTGTAAGGCGTTGGACTTTGATCTCTCTGCTTTCTTCCTGGAGTAAATAGTCCGCATGTTTCTGCTCTAATGAAAGGTAGGTCACCTATGGAAGAGTTAGGAGAAGTAAATGGAATGGTGATCTCTGCTTTCAACTAGTCATTTGAAAGCAGAGCATGTGTGATTCACAAGAGACTGAGTTTGGTTCTATTCTATGGCTTGCTTAGGGTGGTGAGATGGGGGGTGAGAAACATTTTTTATAAATAATGAAGGTGGTGGAGAAGGATTTAAGGTTGCCTTCTAGTTACATATTCTTTCTAAGAATTATGCGGCACTGATGGCTTGTGTTCTACTACTAATAATAATGTGGCTGCAACTTTTTTTTTTTATGTATCCTCGATAATTTAGTACCTCACTAGAAGCATCAAAGAACTGAGAGGGCTTTTCCTAAAAAGACAATTATCATCTAAATTAAATATATTATGTATTCTATAACCACCAGAAACAAGGAAAAAGAGAAGCAATATTCCTTAAATTCAGAACAACTCAGCTTTAATTAGGATTTCTAGGGTTGTTTTCATGGTTTTAATTGTCATATTCAGTAACTTTCTCCTGGGACTTTAAATGATTAAGATTATTTTCCTAATATTTATAATATTATTTATGATTATTTCGTAGACTCATTACCACACTACTGCTTTGAGTAGGAAGCTGCAGAATTATAGTTACACCTCTCTATTCTTCTATTCTCCTTTAGTTTCTCAGTATTATTTGACTGTGTCAGATTTTTTCCTTGAAACACTTTGATTTCTGTGCTTCAAATTATTGGATTTCTCCTTTATTTCGCTGATCCTGCTTCTGTATCCTCCTTTACTATTCTGTGTCTGATAGTTCTTCATCTGATACACTGTCTAGGGGAGAAAAGTTCTATTATTCACTCATTAAATTCATTCTCACAAAGAATTAATTCATTTCTATGACACTATCTACTACTTAATAGTCATGATTTCCTATGGGAGATTAAGGATGGCTTCAAATACTTTGTGGTTCTTCCCATCAACAGATGGACTCTGTTACCCCTCCCTTTGAACCTGGGCTGGCCCTGTTACCTTTTTTGGCCAATCAAATGTGGCAGAAATGATATGGAATAATTTCTAAGACTGGACCTTAAAGAGATCTGTAGCTTCTGCTTTTGTGTGCTTGAAATGTTCCTTCTTAGAACTTAGTCACCTTGCTGTGAGGAAGCCTAAACAGCCCTGTGAAGGAGTGGCAAGGCCCCTCGTCATCAGTTCAAGCTGAGATCCAGGCCAGGAGCCCGCCCAAGTGCCAACCGTGTGACTGGGTCATTTTCGACCTCCCAACCACCCCAGCATTGAAGCCAATACTGTGTGAAACAGAAGAACCACCTCATCATCCCATAGAATCATGCGAAATGATAAATGGTTATTTTAGCCACTAAACTTTGGGACGGTTTGTTACATAGCAATAGAGAGCTGAAACAAAATTTAGTACCTAGAAGTGAGATGCTGCCATAACAAAACATCTGGCATTGGCTTTGAGGCCAGGTGGCAGTGAAGACCTGAAAGTAGTAAGAAGGCTTATTAAATGGTGGCTGGAAGAGCAGTGAGGAAACTGCTATTGGAAGATATAAAATGGTACCCTGGTTATTTTACGTTGACAGAAAGATCAGTAAGACTGTCCCCTACAGTAATATGGAAGATAGAAAATGAACCTAATGAATTTGTGGAATATTGAAATAGTCCCACAGAATATTGGAAGTGTCAATTGACTTCTTTTTTTAACCACCTATGATCAAAGCATTGCAAGATAGAGATGAATTAAAGAAGAAACTGTTCAGAGTTTAAGTAGACTTTAGAGGAAATTTTTTCAATCTAGAATTTCCTAAGGTCATAAATAAAACTATTTCTCACTGCCAGCTTCTCCACTCAGCAACAGGTACTCAAAGGTAAGAAATGGCCTCAGGTTAAAAGATCAGACCAAGGCACTAATGCCAGTAAAACTTGATCTCGAGGTTAAAACAAAGCCAGGGCACAGATGTAAGACACTGTATTAAGACCTCAAAAGATTTAAGGGAGTGCCTCCCTGATCTTCTCAGCTAGATAGAAGGGCTGTAAGAATCTTAAGGGTATTGTCTCGCAGGTCGAGGACCTGATTTAGATGACAACATCATGGACGTCAAGCCTGAACTTGATGCCATAGTGGGATAAAACTTTAAGGGTTGGAGGAGAGCTTGAGAGACAGTGAGGATACTTTGTCTGTAAGAGAAATGTAAGTAGTTTGTGGGCAGGAAATAGACTGTGAAGGATCAAACATGGCTGCACATTCTTCACTACTCCCATTGAAAGGTGGTGTTTGCTCCCTCTCCCCTCAAGTCTGGGCTGGCCTGGTAACTCCTTTGACCAGAAGGATGTAGTGGATGTGACACTGTGTAGCTTCCAGGGCGCTGCCATAAAAGATCCGCAGTCTTTGCCTCTGTACTCGGAATGTACCATCTTAGAACCCAGCCACCAGGCTGTGAGAGGACACTCAGCCACACGAAGTCTCACATGAGGGCCTTACCAGTCAGCAGTCAGCACCAATTCACTGCTGAATAAATAAAGACATCTTGGTTCTTCCAAAAATCTTTGTGCCAGCAACACCATGAGCAAAAGAACCACCCACAGAATGGTGAGAAATACAACTATTTTTATTAAGCCTTTAAGGTTTGGAATATGTAGAATAGTTAGCCAAAATCCTTTCCATCTATATTTATGAGTCCTAGCCTCCCTCTGGGATACACCCTCTCTAAACGCTGAACATATCTTTCTCTGCCTCTGCATTTTTGTATGTTCAATTCTTTATTGTACAATTTTTATTTATTTATTTATTTTTAGGCAAGGCAGCCCTTGGTTGACTTCACAGATTGCAAGGACCTTGTCAGCTTACAATCCCTTATTTTTTATTTTTCATACCTACAGCACCTGGTCTTCTTAGGTGTCTCTCATCCAATACTGTACAATTTTTTTGTGTGCTCTGTATGCTACAATAGCATGGGATAAAAATCTGAATCCATTTGACTCTTGCTTCTCCATGGACCTATCTGATGTTGGCAAGTGATGTGAATTTTCATTTACAGTGATTATTTCACTCTTTGCTTTCTTTGCATTAAAATCTTCCCTTACTATTTGTGGCCCACATGATTACAAATAGCCTTTCAGCTGCCTGCTTGTTTCTAATTCCTCCTCCTTAAGTCCATCCTGCAAATCTCTGCAGCTCACTGACACTGTTCTACTTACTGCCTCAGATAGCTGAGTCTCTCTGAGGGGTTCATGTGGGCAATGGTAGCTGTTCCTTTGCAGTCTATGAAGCAGGGAGTACCCTAGACATGTAGTGAAACTTCCAGAACACTTAAAAGGTAGTCACTTTTCTGAGCTATTTTATCACCAATCTATCCTGTGAGCTTTCCCCTCCTGGGGAGACTTAGAGACAAACAGTAATTCTGGCCTTACCTGGACTAATTGAATTGCTCTGTGGGAGTGGGACCTGGATTTAGGTTTCTTTTAATAGTGCCGCAGGCAGTTTTAACGTGAAGCCAAAATTGAGAACCGCTGTCATAAAGTTGTGATTCTTATAAATGGTCCCTGCATCAGCAGCATCCATATTAACTAGGAACTTGTTAGAAATGCCCATTCCTGGGGCCTACTTCAGATCTAATGAAGCAGAAACTCTGAGGCTAGGGCCTATCACTTTGTGTTTAAATAAGCTCTCCAGTGACTTTTATGGCTATTAATATAAGAAACATTTTGCTAGTTCAATCTTGGTTCCCTCTCGGTCTCAAAACTGCGACTAAATTTGGGAAGGGTGTTGGTTATTGGAAAGTCACTGTGCTGACGAGATCTGAAACAATTGGTAGGGGACATAAACTGGCATACCAAGTGTCTTGCTAGTGATCATTTAAAGTTCTTGCCATCAGATCTCTGGAGAGTGGTTCAAGGGTTATTTAGAATAAAGTAAAGGAGCAAATTCATCACAGATGCTGATGCTTTATTTCCCAGAGAGAGACTCAAAAAGGTGAATTTAAACTTCAGATATATGATAGACTCGAGAAACATCTTGAGATGTAGTACTAAACAGTTTGAAGTGATATAAGATGATTTTTAAATCAATTTTTGGTGAGAGTAAGTAAAGAAACTCTATTTTAAATTGTTTTTGCTCTATCCCTGCCTGGGATCAAAGACAAGGATCTTCGAAGTACCATCATCTAGTTCTTAGCATTTAATGACTCTAAATGCCATCTGATCATTATTTGTTTGTTTTTTTCACTGGTTATTTTAGAAATGCTTTCAAAGTAAAATAAAGACTAGTAAGGAAGTAAAGATGCCTAACTTAAGTGTTGATGTTCTAGTCTTCGGGACTTTGGGGTGAGATTGTCAAATGGATTCATGTGCTTTGAAAAGCTTTTATGATTTTTTAATAAGTTTAAAAGCTAAAGGAATGGGATCATAAAAGGAATTAGGACCATAAAATCCTTTACTCTTAGCATTGTTTCTTTGAACTGATTTAGTGCATTTGTGTATTAGAAATAGAGATCTGATTTGGATTGAGTCTTCATTGTTTGCAAAAATGTGGTCTGGAAAGAATTTCCTAGACACACAAACAGTATTAAATTTTGTAATGACAAAAGACAGCTATGCTCTAGCTCTCCAGTTAAACACATCAATGGGAAAAATTAACATCAGTTAATATATAGGAATGCTTAAGACTTTTCATACATCATAAAATCCAGATGCCATGTATTTATATATTTACTCTTAGTTCAGTGGAAAATGTTTAGCAGGAAAAAAAAATGTTAATTGAGAAAGTAGATTATACAATATGTAATTGAAGACATTGCAGAACATTGTATGTTTGCATCCTTGTGTTTCAGAAGATTATAATAGAACCCAATTACAATGCAGATGTTAGGATAAATTGATATCTTAATCAGTTGAGGCTGCTATGACAGATGACCATAGACTGGGTGACTTAACAAATATTTATTTCTCACAGTTCTGGAGGCTGGAACATCAAAGATCAAGGTGCATTGTGTCTCTTGAGAGCTCACTTCCTAGTATAGACAGCCTTCTTTTTGCTATATCCTCAGAAGGAAGAAGCAAGAGAGCTCCCTGGGGTTCCTTATATAAGGGCCCTGATCTCATTCACGAGGGCTTCCCCTCATAACTTAATTACTTCCCAAAGGCATCACCTCCTAATTCTATTACATCAGGGGTAGGTTTCAGCATACATATTTTGGAAGGACTCAAATATTAAGTCCATCGCAGTTAGAGAAGAAGAGAGTTAAGTATTCAGCTCTTTCTTTAGCTCTCGAGAGAATTGAGGCTGGCATAGTCAAAAGGCTTGAATGAGACAGTGTGGTCTGGTGTCAATAAAGCTTGAGATTTGAATCTGACCGAGGTTCTTGGTATAACTATTTCTTGCTAATTTTGTCACTTTGGACTTGGTAACTGTTGAGATTTGAATCCGAAGACCGAGGTTCTTGGTATAACTATTTCTTGCTAATTTTGTCACTTTGGACTTGGTAACTGCTTTGGGCCTGCCTCATTTTCTGTGTTTATAAAATGTGAAAAAGTAATATTTATCTCAATTTCTATGTTTATAAAATGTGAAAAAATAAAAATAATATTGTAAATAGGAAACAAATCAATATAAGTGAAAGCCCTTTAAAGTAGGAAACCAGATATCAGATTATTATTAATAATATATTTTTATTTGCTCTCTTATTGACAAGGAACACATAAAGGAAATCTGCCTTAGGCAATTAGAGGAAAAGTTTGTATTTCTTAAAAAGGCAAAAGTTCTTCACAAATAATTTTCAGTTAAAATGAATATGGTGAACGTGTAGTAATGAAAAGTTTGTATTTCTTAAAAAGGCAAAAGTTCTTCACAAATAATTTTCAGTTAGAATAAATATGGTGAATGTGTAGTAATGATTTGCTAACAGATTAGTTATAATGGTTTTTCACTATAATTATTTTAAAACATTACTATTGAAGTTTTGTGTCTATTTTCATAGAAATACTGTGTTTAAAGTAGAAAATGTATTTGCAATATTTAAAAACTGTATTGTATACAAGAAGTATCATCATCGCTGAATAGCATTCTGGAATTGTGCAATAAATTCTTTTCTGGCACATTACAGATGCAGTGCAATGGAAGAATATGTAAAATGTTGCACACATCAAATATCTACCATGCTTGCTGCACATAAATGCAGTTGTGTATCGTATATTGTACGCCATTCAAAAATGAATTGTGAATGAGAAACTCACACTTCAGTGGTGCTAAATAAGAATTAGCTTATAGCTAGATTGTCATACACTCTAACTGTGCGCTCCGGCCTGAAAAATAATTTGATACTGGTTAGTAATTATTAAGCAGGCTTTACACATGGATTGGTAAATCCGAAGTACATTTCAGACGTCTCCAACCTTTTGATTTTTAAAAAATGACAAGGTCACAAGATTATTGCTAAACATATCTTAAATACAATTTGAGGTCATTACTTTGAGCTGGATTTCAAGCACTTAATAAGCCAATAAAGGATTGTATTTTGGGGACAAATATCAAATATATAAAATCTTCCGGCAACCTTCGGAGATTATATAAGTGCTAAAAATATTCACACCCAATTTAAAAAATTTTTGTTTTAGCATATTCTCATATTTCAAACTATTAAATATATGTGTGATTTAAACTACTACAAATGATTGTTTGAAGATGCTGAAAATGGCTTTTATTAACTATAAGGTAAAAAAATGAATATATAATAGCTACATTTAATAATTTAATTTCAGAGAATTTCATCCATATTTTTGAGCTGTCTCTTAAAAAGTTATTAACTTGTGACTACTTCTAATGAAATCAGTAGGCTAAATTTTAAGAGCACAGAGTTTTCTTATTTAGACAGATGGGCGGTTTTAAATTAGAGTTCAGAAATTACATGTTTTGATAGGTTTGATAAATGCAAGAAAGACCAACTATATGAGGACTAAATGAGAGAAATCAACATTTGTAGACTGCTTGGAAAAAGCTAACTGTTCATGTAAGCGTAGATACAGAATTTTAAAACCAGTTATATCTGAATTTCTGTAGAAATTTTTCTGTAATTTAAGGGAGTTCAAGGAGTAATTATGATCTGATATGTAGGTAGGGTCCTGTATATGTATAGTTTTACCAGTGTAAAAAGTGAACTGATTTATGAAAACCTATTTGCTATATCATGATGGAGAAGGTCTCTGAAGATAATATCTCCAGTTTTTGTTTGTTCAAATGACTGCAGCTATTTCAAGGTATCTATGTTTTCTCATAGAATGAAGACAAACACAGAGATGGTGTGTCTAAGAAATTTTAAAAGGTGTCGGCCTCCTGATTGAAGCATTGTCGACTTATTGAAATTTTTTTTTATTATCGTAAGTATAAATATTTAAAGTATATTATTTTGGTCAGTGTTGACTTGTGTTCTTTGTTGAATAAATATTCACTCTGTCAGATACCCTTATCATTGTTAAAGTTGTTTGACCTTTGAGAGAACAAATAAAGCCATAAACTTTGAACTAGAAGAGCCCTTATAGATGATCTGGTTCACAGTCTTTATTCATTACAAGGAATTCCTTTGCAACATCCCTGGTAGGGAAAAGGGGCTGAACTATTTCACAGAATGGCAGTCCATGGATGTTTCACCACAAATTGAATGAAAATAAGAATTTCTGAAATGTCCACGCACCTAATTCTGCAAATGCCCTTATTATTTCATCCAAGAGGTAATCACGTAAAAATGTAAAGATAAATTCTCAGGTTTCCCTAGTCATCTTTTATCTCAGCTGAATATCATTAATTGTCTATGTTTCTCCATAGAAAATGGTTTATAGACAAGTATTTCCTGATTTTTTTGTTGTTGTCATTGCTCACTTAATCTTTAACCTATGACTAGCATTGGGTTCAAGGTGTGATCTCACTAGGCAGACACAGAAGGATTGTTGCCCCTTTATCTGGGTTCACCTATTAATATGGCCACAGATTATAGTCATATTGTAACTATAGTTAGCATTGATGTAACATATGGCTACATTTAACATAATAGCTATCACGCAATTAGCAAAAACTATACATTTATGTCATCTAAAATCCCTGGTATTTTGCATATGTTCATCCAGCAGTGTTTTCTGGCATCCTGCTTCCCATCATGTCTGTGGTAGTGTGGGGTCTAAATCCAATACTTTCTGTGCATCTCATATAATCTTCTTGTTTTTGTTTTTTGTCTTGTCTTGACACGCAATTGTGGTTAACTGCAGTGGGATGAGGCAGAATGGAAGGCGCAAAGGAAGCCCTGGAGTTATGTAATCAAGCCACAGGTCCTAAAAAAGTTAAATCCATATAATATGGTATGTCCAGAGAAGAAGCAGGCAGAAAGTGATCCAGCAGTTAAAATCAAGGATCGTGGATGCCCTAACAAGTGGGGGAGAGCATGGAGGTATAGGGTTCAGGAATATGTTGGGGCCAACCAGCAAAAGGGAAGACACTTATGAACAGGCAGCAGAGCCTCTGTAATGGAATTCTAGGGATCAGGGGAGGATGCCAGTCTCTAGAAGGACGACGACTGAGAGCAATAGACTTCCTTGCAAGTGCTAGCAGTATAGGCATATCTAAAGAGAGAAACTCAGACCCAGGAAAGATGATAAGAGTTCAGACTCAAGAAAGTACTAGAAAAGGCCTTGGACATAGGTTAGAGCTAGACCACCAGTGAAAGATGACCCATGCCATTGTGATTTTTTTTTCTTCTTTTTTTTCCCCCCAGATATGTTATTAGATTCAGATATTTCCTTTTATCTTTCTCACCCTGTGCCATTTTCTAGGTGGTCTGGATTTTACTAACTAGCATTTTTAATTGTTGATTTCTTTAATGTTTTTTAATGACCTAATTGATTTCTTTAATGTTTTCTGTAATGTTTCTGAACATAATACAAATCATTTATTTAGGGAACATTGAACACTTTTAAATATTAAATATGAAAATGCAAAATCCATCTTGTTTTTCTGAAGGCAAAAATAATTTAATAATAGAATATGCCTTTAATCATTAGTTTTGACTAGTATTAGTATATTGCCATGAAAACATTAAATATGAGCATCTCCATAGTACAGTGTTCTAACTGGGTTTTTCTTCCCTATCCATTTTTAAGCCATTACTGTTGTCAACTTTTAAATCCTCCTAAGTTGGACATGAACTTAAGTTACAAAGTAAGAGCTTGTGGGGAAAGGAGATAATGCATTAAATCACGTTTTGCTTTGAACATAGAATTGGCAGATCCCTCTAGGATTATCCTAAGGGATAATTTATAAAGCAGTGCTTGCTCAAAAGAGGTTCCTTCCCGTGAATGAAACACAACCTTAGACTGTAACTGATGTTCTAGACATGGAAGTAGGATATGGAAAAAAACTTACTCAGACCTTTTGAGGGTACAAAATGTAGCTGTTAGAAATTCATAGCATACGAACAAGTTTTTCCCAATGTTGACTGAAGAAAATTTAGCTTCTGGTTTTTAATAGCCTAGCATGGAGTCAAAATCCAGGAGGAAACTAGACAGTTGCTTCACATCCTGCCCCAAATACCTTTACAGATCTGGTTATCACCAATGGTCTCTCATCTAAGGGACTTTACAGTGCAGTTTCAAATGAAACCTCTACAGCCCTTGATCAGTCCTGCCTCCCAGTTTTTGCCCCTGAGCTAAATCCTACTTAGGTAGGCTATGTGTGTACAAACAATAGAGTGAAGTGTTTAATTTTGGATACTTAATGTCACTGGTGTTTCTTTTATTTTTCTCTTCTAGCTTCTGTACCCGTACAAGAGAAAGTCATGATTACACTAACAGAGCTAAAATGTTTAGCAGACGCCCAGTCATCTTATCATATTCTAAAACCCTGGTGGGACGTGTTCTGGTATTACATCACCCTGGTCATGCTGCTGGTGGCTGTGCTGGCTGGTGCCCTCCAGCTCACGCAGAGCAGGGTTCTGTGCTGTCTTCCATGTAAGGTGGAATTTGACAATCACTGCGCCGTGCCTTGGGACCTCCTGAAAGCCAGCGTGAATACATCCTCTGATCCTGGGACATCGCTTCCACTCCCTCTCAGAATCCAGAACGACCTCCACCGACAGCAGTACTCCTACATCGACGCCGTCTGTTACGAGAAACAGCTCCACTGGTTTGCAAAGTTTTTCCCCTACCTGGTGCTCTTGCACACACTCATCTTTGCAGCCTGTAGCAACTTTTGGCTTCACTACCCGAGTACCAGTTCCAGGCTCGAGCATTTTGTGGCCATTCTTCACAAGTGCTTCGATTCTCCATGGACTACCCGCGCCCTGTCCGAAACAGTGGCTGAGCAGTCGGTGAGGCCCGTGACACTCTCCAAGTCCAAGGTTTTACTTTCATCCTCAGGGTGTTCAGCTGATGTTGATGCCAGTAAGCAGTCGTTGCCCTACCCGCAGCCTGGTTTGGAGTCAGCTGGCATAGAAAGCCCAACTTCCAGTGTCCTGGACAAGAAGGAGGGCGAACAGGCCAAAGCCATCTTCGAAAAAGTGAAAAGGTTTCGCATTCACGTGGAGCAGAAGGACGTCATTTATAGAGTGTATCTGAAGCAGATAATAGTCAAAGTCATTTTGTTTGTCCTCATCATAACTTATGTTCCATATTTTTTAACCTACATCACTCTTGAAATTGACTGTTCAGTTGATGTACAGGCTTTTACGGGATATAAGCGCTACCAGTGTGTCTACTCCTTGGCAGAAATATTTAAGGTCCTGGCTTCGTTTTATGTCATTTTGGTTATACTTTATGGTCTCACCTCCTCCTACAGCTTGTGGTGGATGCTGAGGAGTTCCCTGAAGCAATATTCCTTTGAGGCATTGAGAGAAAAAAGCAACTATAGCGACATACCTGATGTCAAGAATGACTTCGCCTTCATCCTCCATCTGGCTGATCAGTACGATCCTCTTTATTCCAAACGCTTCTCCATATTCCTGTCGGAGGTCAGTGAGAACAAACTGAAACAGATCAACCTCAATAACGAATGGACGGTCGAGAAACTGAAAAGTAAGCTTGTAAAAAATTCGCAGGACAAGATAGAACTGCATCTGTTTATGCTAAACGGTCTTCCAGACAACGTCTTTGAGCTAACTGAAATCGAAGTGCTAAGCCTGGAGCTGATCCCTGAGGTCAAGCTGCCCTCCACAGTCTCACAGCTGGTCAACCTCAAGGAACTTCACGTGTACCATTCGTCTCTGGTGGTAGACCATCCTGCGCTGGCCTTTCTCGAGGAGAATTTAAAAATCCTCCGTCTGAAATTTACTGAGATGGGGAAAATTCCACGCTGGGTATTTCACCTGAAAAATCTCAAGGAACTTTACCTGTCAGGTTGTGTTCTCCCCGAGCAGCTGAGTACCATGCAGCTGGAGGGCTTTCAGGACTTAAAAAACCTGAGGACCCTCTATTTGAAAAGCAGCCTGTCCCGGATCCCACAAGTCATTACAGACCTCCTGCCTTCCCTGCAGAAATTGTCCCTCAATAATGAGGGAAGCAAACTGGTTGTGTTGAACAACCTGAAAAAGATGATCAATCTGAAAAGCCTAGAGCTGATCAGCTGTGACCTGGAACGCATTCCACACTCCATTTTCAGCCTGAACAATTTGCACGAGTTAGACCTAAAAGAAAATAACCTTAAAACTGTGGAAGAAATCATTAGCTTTCAGCATCTCCAGAATCTTTCCTGCTTAAAGCTGTGGCACAATAACATTGCTTATATTCCTGCCCAAATTGGGGCATTATCTAATCTAGAGCAGCTCTCTTTGGACCATAATAATATTGAGAATCTGCCCCTGCAGCTCTTTCTATGCACCAAACTACATTATTTGGATCTAAGCTATAACCACCTAACCTTCATTCCAGAGGAAATCCAGTATCTGAGTAATTTGCAGTACTTTGCTGTGACCAACAACAATGTAAGTAAATCCATTCTTCCCTTTATTCAGCCAGTCTTTTGAGCATCTGCTGTTGCATTGTGTAACATAGGTAGAGAAAATGGACATTAAGTCATGCTAAGCATCCTCTGAGCCTGGCCTGACCACCACTTACTAGACATGTGACCGTAGGCAAATTACCAAAACACTGAGCATCAGTTTTTAATCTGACTTACAAGTTGTCATGGAGATTTTATGAAAAAAATATATGAGCACTGAGCACAGTTCCGGACACATAGTAGTTGCTCAACATATGTTCTCTCTCTCTTTTTTTTTTTTGTATTGTACATAAACATCACAGTTGAAGTATTTTAAACTAATTAGTTATGACAGAACTTTTCCTTATTGAAAGGTTTTAACTACTTAGAAAGTTTTGTAAAACTTCGGCTTTCCAAATCTTGTCATAGAAGAACTTTTTGTTAAAACTACGGGGATCATGAGTTATTCATAAATCTTTTGTGATGCGGTAAGAAAGATTTGAAATCTACATGCATGTCTAGAAAGGCAATTCAAAATGAAAGGCCTTGTTCTATAATGCAACACTAGGGCTTCTTAGAAGCTTTTTCCAGCATCCATGCTTTAAAAGTGAACCATAATTTGCAACAGTAAAGCCAAGTTAAGGAAAACTTAACTTCTCTGAAACAAGAGAAAACAAAATAAATGAGTAGTTTCCTAGGTTAAAATGTGAAGGAGAAGAAAAAAAAAAAAATCATGCTAGCCAAAAGGGCAAGAGAATGATGGTAATGTCCATATGGTAAGAAGAAGAAAAAAGCTATCGAATCAGATCTGCCAAAAGATGAAAGTCATCTTCCTCTAGTTGAAATAGGAACTATTTTCTCCTACTCCACCCAAAAATGTATCATCTCCTAGACTTTTTGCAATTTGTATTTCATGCTAAATATAGCTATGAGCATGATGTTGGCTAATAAACATATTAATCACCAGAGACTGTTTTTGAAAACCATGGATTTTCATTAGAAATACAAGAAAGCTGGGGAATGAGAGCAAAATGCATGCTGACTTTGAGAGTCTTAAGACGTTACTCGTGTAAAAAGAGCTCATTCTAAGAGAAGTGAGAAATCTTCAGATCTTAAAGGTATACGAGGTTTTAAAACTCCTTTAGGATTAATCTAGATTAGCAGTGCACATCAGAATTACCTGAAGGGCTTGTTAAAACACAGATGACAGGGCCCCAGGGTTTCTGATTCAGCAGGCCTGCTGTAGGATCCATGAGTTTGCAGTTTTATAAAGACCCAGATGGAGCTGCTACTGCTGGTCTGATGACCATACATTGAAAACTCAGGTCTAGAGATTTATCCTTTGTGTCCTTTAATTATGCAGTTTACTAATATTAATATTTTGATTACATTTTTCCATTGTTAAATCTATAATAAAGTATAAATATTTTGAGAGGCATTGGTTCCCCCAAGTTGTCATATAGTTAAATCACCACGTGACTTTTTATTTATTTATTTATTTATTTAGACAAGGCAACCCTTGGTTGACCTCACAGATTGCAAGGACCTTGTCAGCTTACAATCACTTATTTTTTTATTTTATTTTTTACGCCTACAGCACCTGGTCTTCCTAAGTGATCTCCCATCCAAGTACTAACCAGGCCCAGCCTTAGCTTCCGAGACCAGACGAGATCGGGCTTGTTCAGGGTGGCATGGCCGTAGACACCACATGAATTTTTAAAAGTGGCAGCTGAGTAAATTAAATGGCCATGAATTATTTAAATATATAAATAGGTCAATATTTTTTTTAGCTTAATGTAATGAAACCTTAAGACCATTGGTACTTTTGACACCAAGTTTATTGACTTCTTGACTGTGTCTAAAAGAGAGTATCAGATGTTCCTATTTAGAATAAGGGATGGAGGCTTGGTGGCATATGAAAAATCTTATTCTGAAGGTAATCGATGGCCAAAATAGAATGATAGCTTTGGCTGGATTGTCTCAGAAGTATGATAAGTAGTTGCTGAGCATCCTCAGAGCCATACTGCTGGCCATGACAACTGAATGGGCAAGGAATGCTCTACTCAGAACTGTGAAGAGACTTAGGTAATAAGGGTATGGAAAACTGGAATTCACTCAGCAACCAGAGAGATGAAAAGTACCTCTCTAATAGAACAGTTTAGCTTAATGATGGGAAGTGTTGGGGAGGAATATTCTTCAAATATTTGGAAAACTTAGTAAAGAAAGCTTATTGAGAGTACCAATAAATGTTAGAACTAGGACAAGCAGGAGAAGATTTCTCATCTTTCCCAAAAAGCTGATTGAATGAACATTTAAGAAGGGAGAAGTGATTTTTTTTGTTAACAAAACTATTCAGATATAAATTGTCAACCACTTGGTAGGAATGTTGCTAAAGGGAATCGGGGATTCAGGTTTCATGTAAGGATTTAACTAATTTTAAGATTCCTTCTAACCTTGAGATGCTCATGATTCTATTAGGTAGACTAAAATATTTGTAAAAATTAGAAAACAAAACATCAAATTGGATGCATAAGTATTTAGATATGCATATACTCAGAAGTGTGAGCTGATTCATTCATTTAGAAAGAGGTAAGAATTCCTGGAAGACATTTTAAAATCTTTTCTAAAGACTTGAACAGTGTGTCAGAGTCATAGGAGACAAGTACTAACTCTGGGGTTAAGCAGAAAAGACATTTATTGAAAGGACATTGTGTAGTTCATATTATCACTGAAAAGGCTGCAGAAGGCTTGGAAAATCAAGCACAAATTTAGTCAGATAGCAAAAAAGACTACAGCCAAATCATAGCACAAAAGCAAAATGATGGGGATACCCTGCCACTGACCATACCAGCACGGGGCACCATTGTTACCCCCTGAAAACTTGGTGCTGCTGCTACTAAAGCCCTTTCCCTCTCACAAAGTAGGTTTTTCGTGGTTTCTGCTTCTTTGTGTCACTAGCTCCAGTTCAGAGTCCAGGTCCGAGCACCTGATTGGCAGAGCTTATGAATGCCCACACTTGAGCTATAAGGGGGCTGAGAACACAAGAATCTGGCATTGTCAGTTCCTCTAGTACAGCAATCCCCAACCTTTTTGGCACCACGGACTGGTGCTCCTATGAGAATCTAATGCCTGATGATCTGAGGTGGAGCTGAGGCAGCGATGCTAGCACTGGGGAGTGGCTGCAAATACAGATGAAGCTTCCCTCACCTGCCACTCACCTCCTGCTGTGTGGCCTGGTTTCTAACAGGCCACAGACTGGTACTGGTCCATGGCCTGAGGTTTGGGGACCCCTGCTCTAGTGGGAAGTGGGCTCTGCTTCCTTTCCCACCAAGAGTCCCATGAAGATAAGGTAGAGAATTCTCTAGATATTGAAAATGTTGGGCAGTCCCCCAAATGACAGACATTCACTCAGAGGGCACTCCAGAATTTGTTCCACAGAATAATAATAGGTGTTCTCTCTCTCTCACACACACACACACAAAAGCATTAAACAGTTCTT